GCGTTCAGTGACGCGAGCTACTTCTGCCTGCACGCCAGTGATGGTCGCACAGGCGAGCGCGTGCATCCGGAGTGTGTTCGTTCGCGTCACGTCGGGCCGTCACCCCGAGAGTGGTGGAGTGGGCTGCCATCAGCTACGACGCGCGTTCGTCTTTGGTGTTCGTGAAAAGATCACTGACCAGCGCTGGATACATCCACGAAGTTGTGCGGCGTGTGCTGATAACTTTCTTGCAACGGGTGAGTGGTGCACTGCTCCAGCAAGACAACGCCCACGCTACGCATCACGGTCGTCGGCTTTGTTCCCGATCGTTTCCATACGTGGGACATGATTGGCCAACGCCTGACCCCTGCTACAACTCTCTCACCAGCTCCGCCTGGTTTGCGTGAGGCAGTGCAGGAGGCGAGGAACAGTGTACCGCAGGGTCCAATAGGGCGGGGCGCTACCTGCACGACGGGATGCCAGCCCGCGTCTGGGTTTGTCGTTCTGCCCGCGGCAGGTACACGCAGTATTGATGTGGCTTTTCCGGCCCATGGTTCTTTGTTGCTGGACTTGGCAGTATTACATGACTCTACCCATGTAATCATGTGCAGTATTCTGTCTCGATATGTTATATATGTACGGAGGAAAAAAAATACAATGCAATCGGAGTGTTGCAATACTTTTTTCCGCCGGTATATTATTAAATTATATTGTAAATATATCTATTTCTATTAAATTTACTGTTGTTCGTGTAGTAAAATGAGAATACAATAGTTTTAATTATAATTCATTAACACACAAAACTGAATGATTACTTTAGTACAAAAGAAAACTTTGATAGAAAAACACGCTCTCTCGGAAAGAGGTACGTCTTGCGAACGACTGACTCTTGTCTTTGCGCAAAGAGAAAACAAGAACGAGAGTGCGCATCTAGCGTTTTCATTCGAGCAATCAAATCAACTTTTTAAAATGCACAACAATCTTTCTCGTTCCTCGAATCCAGACTCCGCACCCGTCTGTACCATGAGAATAACCAACGAAGACTCCCGACGTTCCCTTCGCATCCCGCATGCGACGCTTCTGAGGCGGAATTTGCACGAAGCAATTGCTCCCGAACACACGCAAGATCTGCAAGTTCACGGATGTCCCAGTAAACATCTCGTAAGGTGTCTATCATCTCTGGCAGGGCCCGATCGATTGAGAAGATAGTAATGTTCACTTCTTCAGCCCACAACTACTTTGGCAACTTCTTAGCCAACAGCATTGTATGTGCAATCCCCAGTAGCACCACGCGTATACTGTCTTTGGTCTGTGGTTTCTTGTCTTTGTCTTTCTTGCAATCTTTTTTTTTTCACATACCGCACGTAAAACACTTTAGCATTTTATTTTTCCTCGTGCCACTTGCTTTCTCGGAAACATGTGTTGAATTAGCACCGCTTTTAAAATTAATAAGCTGCCACAAACATCGCCTCCACTTTCTCTTGCTTTAGTTTGTGCAGATTGCGACGCGCATCGTCGGCAGTGAGAACAGAAACCAGCTCCGTCAGCAAGCCTTTTTGTCTTCCGGGCGTGCCCACCAACACTGTTGAAAACTCTTGTAACTTTCCATCAGTGTTCAGCAATCGCACCATAAGCGCTGAATCACGCGGCTTCACGTTCAACTGTTCAACCGCAAGACGAGCTCCTCGAATCTCGCAAAATGAAGGTTTATGTCGCCACTCGGCAACATGCTGAAACCGAAAAACTCAGACTGAACTGCATGTGCAGCCTGCTTCGTGCTCAAAAACGGAGTGAAGTTTTACCCACATTTTCCTCCGGTCTCGAAAGCCACCAGCAATGCAATCACTTCCGAATCCAAGATGTTCACTAAAATTTAAGCAGCTGCGCGATCTGCTTTGTCCCATTTATTTAAAACCACCGTGTACCTCGAACTTATGTGATATTTGCACTCTCCAAAGTGGTCTTTTTTTCATCTTCCCAGAATGCTCCTTCAATTGCGCGCTATAAATTCCTCGACGTGAATGTCCACGTAACTCAATTGTCATTGGACAACTTCTCAATTCCGTGAAAAATCTCCATGGATATTACCGGCAAAAAAGCTCAGTTCACTCGTCAGATTATTTACTCACGCCGAAACGTGATTACACGAGAGCGAAGCGCGATGCGACAATTAAGACCCATTCACAATGCAAACATAAACATAAGCATGGCGTTAGCATAAAAGTTATGAGTACGTCCATAAGCGGAGTCATTCACAATGCGTTCGCATAAGCATATCACGTAAGACGTTAAAAGCTTGCAAGCTCCAAGCTTCTGTACTTACGCTTACGTAAGACTTAAAAAATGAACCAATCACAGAACGATCACTAACTCAAAATCGAGAATCGAAATTGGAGGGAAGTCGACAGAAGAACTAACGCCATATGGGACATAGACTCAGTCAATATTTTGAAATCGATACTCACATACAACCAGAAAGTCTCACAGCCAATGGAAACTTATTTTGCTTGCGTTTATGTTTGGCATTGTGAATAATTCAGTCTATCGCTTATGTTCATGTTTCTGTCTATGCGCTATGCTTATGTTTACGTTTGCATTGTGAATGGGCCTTTACGGCCGACCATGTGTCGAAAAATAAATCACTCGAAAGATTTTCTCATTTACACAGAACCACGCTCTGCTACCATGTTGTTGTTCTTGAAGTAAAATGAGAACACAAAGAATGTTTTTAATTATAATTTATTAACACATAAAACTGAAGCATTATATTAGTGCAAATGAAAACGTTGGTCGTCTCGTGACTGACTGACTCTTATCATTGTGCAAAGAGAAAACAAGAACGAGAGTGCGCATCTAACGTTGTCAAATCAACTTACTCAAAAGCACACGTTCAAACACAATCTTAAATTATTTCAACATTAACAACTAGCCTTCCCAAGCGAGAACTCTCACATGCAAAACCCCACCCTCTTCTCTTATAACTTCATTTCTATATTAAGAGGCAAAGTTGTTAACGACACGTATATTTTTGTTTAAAAAATGGATAAAGTTAACTTCCTAGGTATTTGTAGAATATCAAATAAAAATAACAAACAATAAAATTGATGTTTGAAACAAATTGTAAATAAATGGTTATTCGGTGTTATTGGTAGTTTATCTTGGAACAATTCACAGCAAATCCTTAAAAAATCTCTCTTTTTAAGAGGAAAGCACGCGTTAAAGTGAAATGAAAGCTTTGATAAAAATAAAATATATTTTTAATTTCTGTCAGCAGCGTTGTAAACTGTGTCCTATGAGCCCTGTAGGGGCGGACCCAGAGACGAATTTTGGGAGGGGAATTTATTTATTAAAAATGTTCTCGTCGAATATGTCATATTATGTAGAATGACGCAGGCTAAACTCAAACTATACGAAAATATTATTGCTTCAAAGTTCCGTGGCAAGTAAAAATTATTAGTTACTAAAAAATTGGGAGGGGAAATTTCCTTAATTTCCCTCCCCGTGGATCCGCGCTTGTCAGCAGCAAGTAGACAGCAAATGCTATTCCGTCCTTATGGCGTAAATTACTAGTGTGTTACTTTAGTAAATACTTTGCACATTGGTATATTCTTTATTTTGTTAGTGTTCATGGTATTATTAATTGTAAGAATTTGTACATAATCATCACTGTAACCGAGACAATTCGTTATTATTTCATATCTAGTGGTTGTGTATTATGATTTATTCTATTGCTTTATGTGATTTAAATGATATATTTAGAGTCGCACGTTTTTGTTTGATGAACACATCAAGATCAAACCGTATTGTAAAATAAATTTTCTTTGCATTATTGATATTTCCTTTTTATTTTTATTTTTACCACTGAAAAACATAAAGATTCTTTGTTTTGTTCGATACTGAGAGTTTTTCTTCACGGCGTAGTTCATTGTGTCCTTCTGAGACACTCACGCCCCCCGCACAGGACATGATTCTCATAGCCCAAGCAAAAATAAGTTTCTCTAGTGAGGAGTTTTACCCTCTCCAGAGTTTACTTGTCATGAAGTTGCTCGAATAGTAGAGAGCTAGACGGCCTGTTCTGGAAAGCTGATTTTTACGCAAAAGGTACGGTATGTGTGGAAGGTGATACAAGGAGGAGTGGAGGAACCACCACATGTGAACGCAGATATTCTAAGCAGGAGGCCAACGAATTTCTTTAGCCATCCTACTGACAAATAACGTAAGTAGCAAGGCCGTCACTATTTTTTTCGGGGACAGGGGGATCGGTCTAATGTAGGGCAATGAACAATATTCTCAAAATTAAAAATATACGTAATTACATTTGACAGACAAATAGAAGGGACGCGGTGATCTAATCAGGAATTTCACTTTCAGAAATTGATATTACAAAAATTGACCCTCGATAACCGCGTCTCAGCTGATCACCTCCCAAACGTTCTTTATATTTTAATCGGATAATACCTAGTTTGTATTATGGACAATGCCATTTTATTATGTCCTATTCACACAATTAAGTATTGCCCATTCCACATAAGTTTGCATGAAAAGCAGTATTAGAAATCACTATTCAATTTTGAACCAAGTTGCGATCAAAGATTTTCGGAGGGGGGGGGGCTTAAAACCCCTGGCTATTTCTGGGTTCACCATTGTTAAATAGTAATGATCATAGAAGGCAGTCTCTCTATAAAAAAATTAAAAGCCTCTTTCTTACATGAGGGGGAGAGGTCGAATCTTCCAATTTTTCAAGTTTTATTCCTAAGGATCATTAAGAGCTCCACAATTAGAAATATTTGTAAATGGTAATTCATCAAATTGTTCACAATTTTAGTATCTGCTGTTTAACAAGAATCTACAATTTCGAAGGTACAGGAAGGTACAATAAAAATATTCACATGCATTAATTGACCCGAATCTTCGCGTCTAGAAGTGCAAAAACAGATGTATATCAGAGGCAGTGGCAGAGAGTATATATCTGCACAGTGATCCATGGCAAACCCTACAAAACGATTCCAAACTCGGATTCTCGGAATCATGGAGTGCTTTTCAGAGAAGAACGGGTCATTTAAAGGTAGAGCAGCCTCACGTTGCGATTCTTTATATGGAATTCAATGATACAAAGACGTGCGCTGTCTTGTATGTGCACTTTTATTGCTTATATATATTTATTATGTGTAAGTTAAAGTGTAATTTGTTTGAGTGAAATTAAATTCATAAATTATTATACCTTGATATTTTAATTAAGAGGAACGATGACCTCCCGTCAGAGTGGTGGTGTGGTTCATCCAGCTGTTTATAGTGCGATGTGGCCTGCTTTGTGAAGCTAAAGAAAATGGAATTTCTCTTGTATTGTGTGGGTTATTTTAAAACTTTAATTTGCTCCTGTATTTCCAATGGTTAATAGAAATGTGATGGGCTTTTTACTTAATCTTCCGAAATGAATTATATATGAAACGACAAAGAACATATTTGCACATTGGGGTTATTTATTTAATCATCTGAATGGTTATTTGTGAACAAGAATCTTTATAAAATAAAGTATTGCGGTGCTTATATTTCGTGACTACTGTGCGATACTAACTTTTAATTCATTTTTAACCTGTGTTTGTAAGTACAATTGTAGAGGTAGGTCTGCTAGAAAAAAAAAGATCTAAGGGAAGATTGCTCTTCAACCCCTTGTGTTATTTGTAGTTTGGCGTCGAATTTGTGATGTCTCAGAAAAAAATGTAGAATGAAGAATAATTTGACAGTTCATTGAAAATGAGATAAATTATGCTAGTTCATCAATTTTAATGATTTTGACAGGTTTGACAAGAAGATAAATATTCCTCATGGTGAAGAAGAATAAGAATCGCCATTGCCAAGAATCCCCAACCATACATAATGGTGGGGATTCTGCTGAATCGGGTGATCAAAAGAAAACACGTCCAAATGGTGAGCTACTGTAATATTGTTTTTGACATTTGAAGGTCACCAAAGATTGGTTCAAAATTTAGAATGCCTACTATTCTTTTTTTTTTTAGTTCATATTGCTTCATTATATATTTTTAGATTTTTTGAATATAAAATAATAATTAATATTATAAATTTAAAAATTTTGTAATTAATGCAAATGTTTTTAAATCATTTTTGTACACTTTGTTCCTCATCAATGGATCTTAATTGAAATATGAGATATTTGTTTTTCATCAGTTGTCTTCCTATTTCAAACTTCACCATTGGTCTTCAAAGATAAAGTGACACAATTTTTGGAATTATTGAGCACTGATTTTTTGTCATAAATTTTTTGAACTTGCTTATCTTCAAGAAATTATCTTTAAAAATAGTCTAATTCATGACTAGCCTTATATGTATAATGTGAAATTTTACTGCTTTAGGATCAGGATGCATGCACATTCAAAAAGCTGTACAACTGGCTTCGATTAAAAAATCTCTGAAAAATGGATGCCTTGCTAGTGACTGTCCAGGGTGCATCAAGGATGGTGTGAAACCTGATGGAGAGGAGGTAAATGAAGTTATTCTTTAATTATTATGAATTATATTTTTTGGTTCATCCCGGGTTTACGGTGCACCTCAGTCTTGATGGTTTTCACTGTCGCGAACTCCCGTATGTATTGTTCACTTTTGATTCTTGTGTTGTGGATGATAGAAATGAATTATCATTTATGTGCTACATTTAAACACTAGTTATAGATGTAAATTGAAAGTTGGCTGTGTCCTGGTCCACTTGCGTGGAATTCTGGTGCTTTGCTACACGTCTCCAAATTGAGGATGAGACTTGGGCCTATGCCCTTGCGTTAAAATAAATCATCCTCGAGTCTGTCCTAATCTTAATGCAAGTCTTACCAATGCATTTTATGTGAATACTCATCTTAAAAATCATTTGGCAGGTATATGTATGTATGTTTTTTGCTCATTTAAATGTGTTTCAAAATAATAAAAATGGTTTGTGTTTTATGAAAGATAAAATTCCTTCGCACCGATTGGAAGAGAAGTAGATCACAGTAATAAGGCACAGTAATGGAGGAAGCCCAGGGAAAGGTGCACCATAAACCTGGGACCAGCGTATCATTTTTGTTAGTTATATATTTAATTTATCTTGTGCTGTAATGTCACAATTTTGTTTCATGTAGTGTAATTAGTGGTTCCTGAGACACACATGTACAAGCATATTGAAATCTGTAACATTCTTATGGCAAAGTTTTATTAAAACCCTGGAATTATAAACTTGAATTCCTGTATATATATATATACCTCACTAAGATGACTGAATATAAGACAACCACCTAATTTTGATGAATCCTCCTTCATTTTTGAGTACTACGTTGTAATAAGATGCAAATTGATTGTTGAATAGCTATTTTATAAGAATTTCTTTCTCTTATTCCTTATGTATTATTGTTTTTGTCACTTCCATCTTCATTTTCACTTGAAACATTGTTTATTTATTTCTATTCTTTTTTCTACGCTACATTGTCGTTTGACTTGAACGTTCTCTGCAACTTTAGTATGTTGAGTTCTTCTCTTCTAAGTTTGGTATAATTTATGGTCTCTAACAATCATTAATTTTATACCTACAGTTTTTAATATCTGTTGGAACAAGCTGTGAATTGTGGTTTGTGGATTCGTAACTTCCATACGCCCACAAAATCGTGGAAATGGTTTTCATTCGTTTTCATGTGTTTCGCTGACAAAAATGCCATTAAGAATCCGATCGATTGAAATCATAGGTCTGAATTGCTCTGCACATCCATGGCAAATGCAAAGAAACTGTCCAATAATATAATGGGGCATCATAGATAGATGTGGCTTCTTTGCAATGAATTGTTACGTCAGCTTTGGAGTATCTCAACAGTTTAAGGCAAAGTTAAATCATAACTAACTTAAATGTCCCTAATGTAAAGGAAGGGTGACGATTGGAAAATATGTTTCATTAAGATGAAATTATTTCCAAATTGCGATTCTTAAATTTAATTGTTAAGACTCATGTTATATCAAAATTTGCCAATATATATTTTAAGGAAATAGGAAAATCAGCGACTTTATTACATTTAAATAATTTAACAAATTTGTTCAAAGATTCTAATTTTTTGAGGTTAAGATTGAACATGCTTTCTTGTTTATGAATATAGTCATCCACTTACATGAGGTTAACAACATATTTATTATCATAGTGACTGGTCCTACATATATAATGAGAATTTTTCACAATACATAATTGTTTAGCTTATATTAAGAAGAGGGAAAACGGTATGTTGTGGGAGATAATTGGCTTTGCAGAAGGGAGAAGCTGACACATCATTGAGAATCCTAATTTTCTTTGCTGCGAAATCTTGGGTTGGTAGAATGACTTGTTTATGTGTGTGTTTTTAGATCATCAGGGTCAGTAAACCTCAATGGTGGAAGCCTGCCAAATGTTTTTTTAAGATCTTCTACCGACTATTGAACCTAACCCGTTTCTGTGCACTGCAAAGTGTGTTCCTGAAAAAAATAGCTGTAAATAAGGGTTTTTCATTCTTTAAAAAGGATTATGGTACACGAGTGGATGCTAGGTACAGATAAGGTACGATTATTATTTGTGGAGTCTGCTTTCATCTCCATCAGTTTTGATTCCTTGGGTGTGATGTTAGTGCACTTCAGCAATACTTGGTATCTAAAGTAAATGTGTATGTTTATTTAATTTTATTATTTCATTTCAAGCAACAGCAAAATAGTTAAAACCTTTACATTAAATACTGAAGATCATCACAGTGTTTAGCCCAATCATTTTCACGTAACAGCAAAGGCTAATTTTAAACTCCTTTTAATATGTTCAGTCTCAGTTTGGATGTTAACCAACAGTTTGTTTTACATGATTCTAAATCCATAAAATGGAGTGCAAATCTCTCTTATATGATGAGCAGTTTTAGAGGTTTATAAACAGTGTAAGCAAACTATTGTTTTTCATTTGCTGATCCATTTAGTAGTTTTTGTCTTCTTTTACATGTTGAAAGTTAAGTATTCATGCCAGGAGCGAAGAGAAATTTTGAGGTTTTGTTTGGCATCAATTTTCACAGAGATCGAAAAAATACATTTTTTTGAAACATTTTTGTGTTTTTGTGAATATTATCTTCTCAACTGTTCAAGTGATTTCTTGAATTTGAATATTCTGTAAACGTTTTGGTTCTACTTTAACAGCCTCTGCAAATTACAAAATAAATTTTAACTTCATGTGGGTGTGAGCTTACTTGTATGAAGCTCATTGTTTTATAACACACAGTCACCTTTTCATTACTCTTGAATTTTTTTGAATTACAAAGGTTTAATTCTTAATCGTCTTTTGTTACGAAGTTTTACAAAATTAAGTTGTATTGAAATATTTTGTTCAGAAATGTCTTTTAACATTCTACAAATGAATAATACAGGCTGGATTGCTTAGCTGCGTTTCTGAAGGAAAGTGAAAATACATTTTATCTTTTGTACTTTTAATATGTTATTAGTGTACCCTTGCGGATTCTGCTCTTTGTACATTATTGAATTAAATACATGAACAGCATTATACTCAAAACCAACTTCAAGTTTCCGACTCTAATCTTGGTTACATCACATAAATCTAGTACCATGTCAGGGGTAAACACTACATTGCTATTAACAAGCGGTAAAACTTGTTAGATATTTGGAATATGTAGAATTACTCGCATAGGTTTTGAAATTTTGTACATTTTGTATCGCACATACCTTGAAGATCAGGTCCCCCAAAGGACCAAACCTCCAAACACAGAATAAAATGTTCAAAAAGGTTAAATTTTATAGATTACAACTAAGAAATATTACTTCAGGTCTCTTCTGGGTCCTGAAAACTGGGCTTTAATTATGGAGTTTGAAATATGCAGAATGGTCATGTGTGTTGCTGTGTAATGTTTGTTTGGCGATTCATGGGAGTCTGCTAAATTCTTAATTGCATAATCTACAAAATTCTAAATTTTTTTCACGCAAGTCTGTTGAAGTTTTCCTGGGGGATAGTTGCCTATCCTTCAGATGCAAGTTTAGGGGGTCCATGATGTCGTATAACAGTCACCTTGGTCCATCTCAATGGTCCATTTGGAAATGCATCCCAATCTTATAGTTCTAAACCTACATGATAATAACCAAAACATTTCCTCTCTTCATCTTCCCACCGTTTTAATAATTAACATTTATCCAAACAGATTTGTGAAGAATACCAAAGAACGTACCAATGGATAACTTTCTTATTTCTATTTGTCTTTATATTGTTAATAACTCTCTTTTCAGAATTCACTGATTATTTCACCTTTGAAATAGATTGTAAATATTCGTTGAGTGAAAGAAAATAAATAAATTTAAAAATTTTAAAAATTTGGTCATTCCCTATAATAAACATATTATTCTGAAATTAGTGCTTCTTGTGGTTACAGTGTGTGCCAAATGTAGGCCTGTGGCTCTGCCTCCAATGTGGCCACCAGGGATGCGGCCGTGCGGAGAAGCAGCATGCCCTAAAGCACTTCCAGGTTGTGCATTCTGATCCCCATTGTATTGCAGTCAACACAACTTCCTGGAACGTGTGGGTTAAGCAAGCATTCGGTGCATTTTTAATTTTCATTAATTTATTATTATTATTATTATTATTATTATTATTATTATTATTATTATTTATTTATTCTTATTAGAGAGAATAGCTGAAACTCGATTTGTCATGTTTATATGTTGTTTTTTGTAAGCCGTGGTAAATTAAGATTTAAATGAAAACAAGAAAATATACTTCTGTACAGATCAACCTTATTGCACCGTCGGAATTTTTTGGAAAATAAAACTTCATCAATACTGGCTGACATGATATTAAACAACAAATCTATGTTTAAAATGCCAAATAATCACTCCCAGTTAGCAACAAAATTCTGTACTGTGTATCTTTTAAGAAGAATGAAGTACACAATATGAAGTAAAATAATTCTTGAATATATAGTTAAAATATTAATAAAGTAAAATCCCTCTTTTACACTTTTCAGGGGTTCAATGTAAAAAGTGTAAAATACAGGAAAGTTGAAAAACGATAAGCGGAGGTGTTGTGTCGTCTGATTATGTAGTTCTGTGTTGTCTACTGTTTTGAGCTCTCAGTGAAATTCTTTCTTGCTACTGCTGCTATTGTGATTTGATGCAAGAACTGCCACGTGTTGGCCACTTGAGTAAGTGGCAACATCTGTCTACCCCATCCCCAGCTACCAAGAAGATGGAAATATTCAGACAATAGATGGGTTGTTTGTGTGTGGGACACTTGTTGCTTGTGGTGAGTTCATTGGATTTTCATTCTTTGTCCAACAGGTGTTACAGTTGTGAGGTAGAACTGGCAAGCGAGTACCGCAAGAAGCTCCAGGAGTGTGTGAAGTATTTGAAGAATGTGGACTGCCCATCTTCAGCAAGACATTCTACAAAGGCCTGTGAGTTGGCATTTGCCTTTTATTGATGCCTATTGCTTTTACTTATTTCTTTTTTCAAATCACTGCAGCCTGATGTGGCGCTGGGGTGACTTGGCAATCCACTTCCAAGTGAGGCAATTTGGTTCTCACCTCTGCGTGTAATATCAGGGGCTGCCCTGAGGGGGAGAGGGAACTTCATTTAGAGATGGCTGGCTTCTCACCCAAACCAAGAATGTAATTTGGGTTTCATGCAGGCGTGGGAGATGGCTGGTATTTATTCGTGATTATCTAGGGGCAAGATAATCTCCACAAGAACCAAGTCAGCTGTTTGCCTCCTCTCCTTTGTTTTTATCTAATGCAATGTCGAAAGGCTTGTGGTAACACACACAAAGCAAATGAGGAAAGACCTTATAAAACTGAACCCAGATTCCACCTCTATCCTTGCAAAATACCTAAAATGGCAATCCTGAAATTCACAGCATGCAGAGTTTTTAAAAAACAATTGTTTTCCCCTGCAACATGATTTTGTTCCAGTCATTGAGTGATTGTGTGCTTTTCTATATTGAATTAGTGGTTGGTGACATGGACCAGAGAAAACCAACTGTCATCATATATCTGTTTTCGAAAGCGTTTGATCAGGGCCCCATGAGAATTAAAGATAACCTGCTTTGGCGGATTTTCTGTGAAAAGTGATGTCTCTTGAATCAGTACTGGGACCTCTTTTATTTATTTTGTGGTGTGGTTTTGTTTATTTCATTTATTATTTATGGTGAGTTATATATAGAGACACATTAACAAACTTCAGGAAGGGGTGAAATGGTAGTTGCTTTCGTTGAATGTTGGAAAAGTGTAATTCAAAATATTGGAAATATCCCTAGAAAGGCATATGCAATTGATATTGCTGACTTACTGAAGGCCATATTATTTGAAGATCTTGGGCTTAGTATGAACTGTGACCTCAAAAAGGAAGATAAGTGCAGAAATTAGTGATGAAGCTAAGCTAATGATTAAAGAATGCAAAGAATGCTCTGTACCATGAAAAGCTTTTAAGTCACTAAGTGTAAGGGATTATATTTAACCTCGTGTTGCCAAAGAAGGGAGGAGATTTTTAATATTTACAACACTTGGCAACTTTTATAATGTTTATTGTATTATAAAAAGGCACAGGGATGCAGTGTACAGACAAACTATGGGAAATACTTAGAGAAAATCCCAAATTAGGAAGGAAGTCTATGGTAATAAATAGTGAGTGGATTTTAATGAATTGCTAGATAACAATGATTTGCTAGATAACAATGCTGTTTAGCATAGAAATTAATTTTATGTAATGGCAAAAGGAAATTGCCCATTTCTACATTTTTGTTGTCGTTGCATTTTTGTTGATTTCGACTAATAAGTCCTTTTTTACCTGTGCCTGTCATTTTAATGCATTTTTCGCCGATTTCATTAATTTTAATATTATTTTAATGATACTTGCTTCAAATAATATTTACAAGATGCAACAAATATTCTCCACAGAATTCCTGAGTAGCCTATTTGATTTATGTGCTCACAAGTTGTAATGTCAGCCATTGCGAGTATGCAGTGTGTATCAACGTCATTGCCATTTAGCTGATTTTGGGATAACTAAAAACAGAAATTTAAATGGGTAAAGAAACGGTCCAAACCGAAAGTTTGAAGGCTGAATTCACTTGAACCATTAGAGGAAGCCTCGATTATATCAGTAATGCATCCAACAGCTTGAGTTGTTGAATTTTAAAAACATTTTAAAAGCATTTTATTTATCATTTTGGGCAGAGTTTTAGGTCATCAAAATCTGCCCCCTAGTTATAAATATCAAATGTGGCCTAAGGCAAGGATTTGGATTATTACCTATTTTAGTACATAAACCACTGAGACACTGGGAGAAGTAAGCTAATAAAGGAATCCAAATCTGAAGAAGAAGCAAAAAATGATTATAAATATAAATAAATCACATATGAGTTGACAAAAACTAATATCAAGCAGCCACACCCACTGAGATGGCTCAGGTGAACCACTGTTGCCACTGAAATCTTTGACCAAGAGGTCCTAGGGTTTGACTGACAGATTTTCAACAAAGCCACTGTGTGGAATACAATTCTAATGAGTGGTAATTCTGGTCTGTAGTTTTCTACGGTTTCTACTATTACTATCAGGGGAATAATAGAGTATTACGTTAATAAATGGGCCATGGACTGTGTGTGATCTTTCTTTCTTCATCCTATTCTTCTTCTCTCCTGTTTCATACTCATGCCTACTCTTACATGCACCACCTACAGTACTGGTTGGAGCTTGTCCTGGCGAGAGCAATGCCCTGTTGTTGAAGATTCTTGGAAGAGGGAAGCCAACATGCAGGTCTCGTGTTCTCGCAGGGAACCTCAGAAGCTGGCACCTCGGAAGATAACTTACACTTCTCTTAGAGGACTTATAATCCTATTAGTCAATGCACCTGGAAACAAAATTATCTATCGATATCAAGAAAATTATTAAGAAACTCTCTAATGAGATCATAATTTCAATTTTGTGTTGTTATTGCTTTGCTTTGCAGGTGCAGCTGATGGAAACCAGGCAGGGGAGTCTGCAGAGTCAACATCCATGCCTCTTGCTGATGTCACCAACATGCCTCATGGAGTTCGGGCACCCAAGAAGAAGATGGTCTCTTTGCCACGAGTGAGGGTATGGTTCCTGCATTTTTCTGACTGGGCAATATCCTCTTTGCTGCAATGAGCAAATATCTGGGAACAGTTGTGTAATACGGGTTATTGGTGAATTTTTAAGATGGGGAAAAAGTGAAGTCACTCTGCTCCAATTGAAGCATAGTGTCACTTCAAGGCCACGAGCTGGATGGAGGAGGGGGATACTGTCATCCAATCGAAAGCTTTGTTGACTTACATTCTTGGTATTGGAGCTCCCCATTGGATGACAATAGGGAGTTTTAGCTCCACACATAAAGTAGTGACTTTAGGCACTAACAGTCACTTGACGGACCTTGAAGTAAAAATGCCTTTCTGTTAGGCCTAAGGTACGACCTGATACCTTCATAAATAGTGCAAGCCTTGTGTAGGAGTCTCTACAGTCACCTTACAGACGGCTAGATGGTCACCTAAAAACAGGAAAGGTTGCATTTTTACTACTCTGATAAATCAATTCTCAGATGTGAGGCAGTACAATTATTCCTGGTCAACTCCACAATATTGGCAAGAATGAACATTGGAGAGGTGACAAATAAAAAATCTGCAAAAAGGAAGTTGAAATAATACCTTAGGGTTAGGGTATATCTTATGCTAATAAATAAATGCTGTTTAAAGATAATCCCTACATTCTCAAAAAGGCGATTATAAAATTCCAGACTGCGTAGACATCACAGAGGCCCACCAAATCTAAAACTCCCTGCACAAGGTAGATTTGTTATATTCTTGTCTCGTATCGTGGTTTAAATGTCTTACCACTAGACTACACTCTTTGATACCTTAAGCAACGTCTTTGTTCAATGCTTGAAATGCTTCTCTTGGTATAATGCACTGTTGCAATTGCTTAAACTCTTCTGGACGTTGTTTATTCGGACTATATAAAGTTGTTAGTCATGTGATCAATAGAATTTAAGGATGGCTCCTTATGCCTTTCCCCTTCCAGCTCGTGACCTTGAAGTGCCACTATGTTAAAATCAGAGTATAATGCTATGGACATTTCTGTCTGGTCAGGCTTCTTATCTGATTTGTAGTGTTTCATGTAAAAGGTAGCTCTTCATTCTTGAAACTTGGTTGTTTTTGTACTTGTTATAATTTTTCTAGGATCTCGCTCTCCTCGTAGGTACCAGAGTCCAATTTTGGGACCATTACTGAACTTGTAATTAAGGAAAAAGAAGCCATGATCAGATATCACAAATGACCTTCAGTTCTATGCTACTTTATTTTATGTGGTGGGTCTGAGGCCCCCTCTATAATCGGGGATTTTTTCACAACTGTTGGTGACTAAGTCAAGTTTTACTGTATATTTTTTACCAACAGGAATGTGTTGTGTTGTGCTGCAGGGTCTTCAGAATCTGGGGAACACATGCTTCCTGAACTCTGTGCTGCAGTGCCTGGCACAGACTCCGCACTTCCTGGAGCTCCTCCAGGAGACACAACAGGGTGGCACTCGCTTTTGCCTCGCTGGCGGGCGGGGGCTGCTGCCAAAACCAGAAGGAGGCGAAGAGGAGGATGATGAGCTGGTGAGTGCCTGAGACCTGTGTACCAAACCGGAACCCATCTGTCTGTTTCTGAATCTAAAGCAATGTTGCACACCTAGAAAATTGCAAATATCAGGAAAGTTTCAACTCTGCAAAAAATTTGGGAGTTTTACTAAAGCAAGAGGGGAAATATTTAATTATGTTTAAGAAATTAAATAATATGAAAATAATATTCAGGCACACACACTCAAGCAAATCCTTGTGCAATAATTATATAAACAATAATTACTTGTACATTACTAAAACACATAAATAAGTAAATAAATAGATGATAAAAATGACAAATTTTGTTAGTAAATTCTAAATTTTTGCTATGTATATATTCTGTAAATTGTACAGAGATGTCTATATTATCAATAATTTTTTTTAATGATATACATGATTCCAATAATTAATTCATCAATTCAAATTACATCCTCCAATAAAAACAAAATATAAAAAAATAAAAAATAAAAAAATGCTCTATTTAATTTTACTGGCACTGACTTGCTAATGATTTCATGAGCTGAGAACTGAACTTACTCTCTTCAATTTATAAACATTTTTCAAAATGTATTAGTTTTGTAAAATTAACTGAAATATAATTTAAAGACTACTTTAAGAAGAGACTTTGCTTAGTTTTGCTTTAAAAAAGGAAATGGATCCCCTTAATAAGGAGAAGCTAATGTAAATTATTTTAATGATCTTTGGCAGATTCATTAAAAACTTCACAAATGAAGTAAATGTTTTAGTAAACTCCATTATTCAACAATTGTAAAGCTCCTGTATACAAATAAGTCCATTAATGGGTAAATCCTGCATGATTTGTATAGAATAAATCAATAAATATGGAAAAAGAAACTCTTTATTGCAAAGCTGTCTGAATAATGGGGTTCTGATGGCAAATTAATGAAACATAGTTATTATTTCACTTTGGAATTCCTTCCCCAAAAATGTATCCATGTGGGATACTTTTTAATGAAACAACTGATCTCCAATTGTATTTTGAATAAAATAAATTTCTTGAACAAATGATACATATTATGAAATGGTTGAACTGAGGGACTGAATGAGGAACTGAGGGCTTCAGATGGTAGCGAAAGGCTCAGATTTGAATGTTTTGCCAATTATCATAAAATATACAAATAAATTACTTTGGGATCTATTGTGCTCCACTCTTATCACTAAAGTGTCAAACAAGTTTTTCATTTTAGCAGGTTGAAAATTCGTTTTCTTCAATTTCTTTTGCTGTAAATTAAGGCTGGCATGATTTCAATCATTGATTTATATCATGATTTCTTTTAAAAAAATCAATGAATTAAATCAATATTTATTATTTCTAATATTTGAAAATATAGTTGTCTTTGTCTAAATATTTGTAAAATAATAGTTACTCAGATAAAAAGTCAAAATCAATTACTAAGTTGATGTCAATGAAGTATATAGTATATTTCTTATAAACTTATTCACATAATTCAACATTGTTCAGAAAATAAAATACAATATAAGGAACAAACTTATGAAACAAAAAAAATAAACAATTAGTAGAGTTATATACTTACTTAGATAGTCGATTAGTTTTTATCCAGCATGTAATTTAATTGAATTGATGACTTATTTTACATGGCAGAACTCATGCCATCAGGCCACTCTTCCATCTGACCATGCAAATTTCTCTACGCTCCCTACACCCACTAGTGGACAAAGGAGGTATCACATAGACCTCAAAACAGGTTCTTTGAATTGCTCAGAGGCTTCATTTAGGCTTGCCCTTTTACATACAGTAGTATACTAATATGGGACTGACAACGTTACTTCCCCTCCAAAGGAACATGTATGAGGGATTTTATTGCCCTTAGGGCTGGTTTCACCAAACACAGAGTAAGAGTTTACTCTGAAGTAAATCCACTAGTGCAAAGATAAAGGGTGCGGGAGAGAAGAAAGAGGATTGGTTTTAATTATGACGATCGAGATTTTGTGTGATCTTGATTGTGATGATCTGTTTTATGCCAACGAAATTTTAATGTACTCACTGTGAGCTTTTGTCTTCAATCGTATATCGCTCAAGGAAGGGGGAAGCACGGTCATTGGTCAAGAAAAGTTATTACCTTATCTAGCAGTTTGTGAGATAATGCCCCACTAAAGCTTTTATGCATATTAGCACTGTTTTCTAAGTTATTGGTCTGTCATTCCATCAAGCATTCTTTCCTTGGCTCCTTGATTTTTAATATCCTATTATCACATATTGGTGAACTTGTAATTTCTCTGAATATTTACGCAGAAATGTTAATCTCTGTTTTGGCCTTTGTTGGCAGCCTCCTTTGGAAGGAACATTAACAAAATGGGGGACCTTGACAGAGTCGTTGGCTAGCACTCTGGAGGAGCTGCGACAAGATGAAACGACAACAGTGAATCCCTTACGGCTATTCAACAAGCTCATCACTAAGTGCCCACAGTTTAAAGGAGGGGATCAGCACGATGCTCATGAGTTGCTTAGGCATCTTTTGGATGAGGTGCGCACTGAGGACCTGAAGGTAGGTGCTTACTGGATAAAAAATGAACTCCACTCAGTATTCAAAATCAATTCTGTTATGTTGAGTCCTTTAAGTTTTTAACATTTTCAAGAATTATCAATGTATGACAATGATAAGTTTTCCTTTTCTTTTTCTTCTTGTACAATCATGTATGTGTGCGTACGCACATGAGTTGGTGGATGAACATATTTGGTTGCATGCGTTTTAAATCCCAAAGTAACACTATTTTTCCCTCCAGCGTTATTGGGTAGCCATATTAGATCAATATGGCCTGAGCCGCCACGACACTAATGAGACCGTGGAGAGCTCTGTGCGAGCGCAAGTTCGCGCCTATGGGCGGCAGGCTGGAGAGCTCTGGCTGCTGCCTGACCCTGTCTTCCGAGGCATCCTGGTGAGCACTGTGGAGTGCCAGGACTGCCTGCACTCATACCAGCGAACGGAGCCATTCTACGAACTCAGCCTGCCTGTCACCACAAATAAGGTGTGTTCCTGCACATTGTCAGTCCCACGGTAGCCATGATGGAAAACACGGAAAATCAGCAAATTTTCATTGCTCTGGGAAAAGTTAGGGATTTTGGGGAAGAATTATTGGAAGTGAGGGAAAATGTAGAGATAGTTATGAAACAAAATATTATTCTTAAAAAAAGTAGTTAATCATTTTTGCTCAATTTCTATTTGTAGAGTTTGTTTTAATTTGAACTTCATCTTAGAAAATTCTCTGGAAAATTTGGAAAAGTCAGGGAAATTTGTTCCAGGAAATGAGTGGCCACCATGACATTTCCACCTTCATGTATTTATGCCTGTCATCTGAGTAGTTGTTTAAGGTGACCTTAATTACAGTTGATTTATTCCAACCTTAATGAAATGCTGTAACATGACCTTCCAAATAAGAACTGATAGTTTCTTTTTACATAAGATTTCAGAAAATTACCCCCTTCTTTTTCTCCTTATGTGTGACTGCTCTGGATGTGTTAGCATGCAGAAAATTTCCTTGCTTGAGGGAATCTAGACATGTACAGACACAAGGTCATTTTTGTTCTTAAAATGCCTCTTGCAAGTGCCAAATGATTCCTGAGATGATTTTAGTGGTACCTATATGTGGTTTAGCACATTAACTTGACTTATTGATGCCATTCTGGTTTGCTGGTCTCACATTTCTTGAGTTAGTTTTGGATTTTTCTACAAAATGAATGCTTATTATTCGGCTCATTGCTGTCTGTGTAGGAACAACCCTAGTTGATTTCTTAAATTCTGAATGCATCACTAAAGTGAGCTTCAAGGAGGGTTGGGAAGTCAAAAATAAATTTATGATTACACTTTTTATCACTGTTTACTTTTTAGTTTTGCGTAATGCTGAAGCCCTTGAAGTCCCATTAGATCTTGCCTTACTCATGTTTTCTTTCATTTTTTGATAATTGCCTTTTAATGGTTGAGTTCTTATTTTTCTCTGGGTTTGTGTACATTTATGATTGGATTTGCTACATAATCTCTAAGTTACCACTGGCCGAAAGTGCCAAGTTCAGTCTGGCCATTGGGCTCAGCACAAAGCGGCACCAATAGCCATACGTATTTCTCTCATCACATGACTCACTCTAGGTGCGGCCAAAGCAGTCTAAGGTTTAAAATAAGTTTAAGTGCCCACTCTTTCTGTTTCTCAAGATTATCTTTGGACTGGTGAGGAAATCAACCGAAGTGTTCTGAAAGTTCCTTATAGCTTATGCAATTTTCTACAAAATGCACTTTGATTCATTCTGATAGTGCAGGTAAGCTTTGAATAATTGAGGTCAACATTTTGAATGAAATTTTGGCAGGATTATGCACCAATGGTGGTGGCAATGATAATCATATTTAACGTCAGGTTGGGGCCAGATGATGTAGAGTAACGCTTGGCATGGCAGTTTGAGGTTGGGGTAGGGTAGAGCTGAGCAAGAGGGACATGGAAAGGATGTAGCTGGAAGGCCTGAGCAAGATAGGGTTGAGAAGGGGAGGGATGATCTGTAATCCATTCTTTTTCCTGACTCGTAGAATGTTGTGATTAATAAATACCCAGGCAATGCAAACATCTTTAGCTAGTAATTAGTAAAGTAATAATGATATGTACGAACTGATGTTTTCTAGTATTTAAGTTGAAACTGGAAAACATGTTTTTATTTATTGAACTAATAATTACATTTTGAAGCTTTGCAATTAATTAAGGAAATAAATAACCTTTTAATAATTGTTGGTAAGATCTTTCATTGTTTCCAGCCACAGCCTCCTGTGATGCGAAGAAAGGCAGGGGGCGATGACTCATTTGATGTGTGTGGTAATGTCACCAATGAGACACCGTCCAAACATCAACTGAAGAAGGAACGACGACAGCAGCGGAAGGTCCGCAAGAAATATCAGCCTCAGTCGCAAAAGGATGTGCGCACTAGTGAACCTTCATCAGAGGGAGCTTCTGTTCCACAGGATGCAAACAACGGAGCAGAAAGTGGTTTGTGTTTGGATATTGATACTTTATTATACTTATTTACTAAACTACAAATGGTAAGAAGTCTGGTTTTGTTTGGAATACAAGTGCAAAACATGTCAAAGACAAATGTATTCTGACTAATACTGTAAATGTATTCTGAGTTTTATTCCAAAAGATCCATGAGAACTTATTTTAGCAGTTACTGGTTGCTAAAATCTACCACTAGTTGTTATTGTCAATTTGTCCATTCTAATGCTAGTATCCAGCAATTGAAGTCAAGGCTTCACTTATATTTCATTAACAGTTAACAGCAACATAACATTAACAGTAACATGTAATTGGTTTGATATACTTTCTCTATGTTAGTTTCATTAAATCTCAAAATTGTGAGTTATAACATACAAACAATGTAAATATCTCATAATGTAATGCGGGAATTTTTTACTGTATTTTTCACCCTTTCTTCGTTGCCATGCAACACGGTGGCCAGCTTCTGACTTGGCTTCTCTAACACAATGCACATGTTATCACGTGGCTTGTGACATATCTGGTGCTGCACAAGAGCTGCAATAATCGATGCGCCAGACACCCACATTTCCATCATGATGTGTACTGCAGTATTAGTGAACAACCCAATCCCAGCAGCTCAGTCCAAGGTTGGCTGTAGGAGCTGTTTGCTAATACTCCCCGCCCTGCTCGAGGTGAGGAATGTGAATTAAAGGCAAGCACACACAGTAGTTTTAATGTATACCACCTAAAGTCAGTGGGACATTGAACTAAAATTGTTGAAAGAAACCTCTCTAACACAAGAAAAGAGAGCTCGGCAGAGCAATTTTATGCCTCCTAAAAGCACACAAAAAAACTTGGATTCAATTTTTACACGTCCATCAGGAAAAAAGTTATAAATCCTGAATTATCTTCAAACGTGTGGATTATGACACGTATGTAACCCACAGCTTAACACAGCGGCTTCCCTCAGGAAGAAAGTTGCAGTTTGGAAAAAGGTATGCCAATGCTCTTGGGCCACAGCACAAGATGATTAGGATGGCTAATGTCGACAAAACAGTTAACTGGCCGTTTGTTGAAACTAGAACAAAAACATTACAACAAATGTCCCACTGTTATGAGAGCACACTCAATGTTTTGCATGTTTACTTGGATATCTGGAATTTATGGAGAATCGAGTTTGACTCTATAGTTTCTGGGAGAGATGTGGTATTTTCCACAATATTATAAACAGAGAAGCTACGGATGCTCCAAAAGAAGAGGCATCTTTGTGGTCGCTTGAGACTCTTCAAGAATGTTGAGGGAGGATTCACCGGCACATATTTATAATGCTGATGATACAGCATTGTTTTATAAATTGTTGCTGAATAAAATCTTAGAATTTAAGAGACACAAGTGAGTTGGTAGAAAAAGCTTGAAAGAACTTATGCTCCAATTCTTTGAGGACCTTAAAACTGAAGCCACTAATTGTTGAGAAGTTTGGGAAGCTAAAATGTTTCATGAAACCAAACCAAAGCCCAAAGATACTTAAACATTAATAAGCATTCAATGGTAAAAAAAAAATCGAATTTGAAATCAAGAATAAGAAATGAAGAATCTGTTATGAGGAATTGTCATTTAAAGAACAAACAAAGGGTAAGAAAATTGAAATTTAAAATTCATGTTACTTGTGTCTGGGAGCTGGAAATTAATTGGAATGAAATAATTTGAATCAGAATTGTTGTTCAAAACTTTTTTTCCTTCCCTGTCTGACAACCTTGGTTAAAAGATTCATGCCTCGATCTTATTGTAAGAGATTTTGTGGTCAGCTCTCTTGTGTAGCCTTTTGTAGTAGAGTTAGAGAGAAAGGAAGCTTCAACAATCTGTAATACACAGTATACTCACATGTTCTTTTCATTCTTCTTATTAATTGTTTACTTTTTGTCACCTTATGTATACTTTATAAGAAGAGAAAGTTATGGAATTGTGCGCCAAAAATCAGCACATTATTGTAAGAGAAACTTTATTGTTGAGCTCTGGTAACGAAAAAGTGGATAAATCCTGTTGCTAAATTTTGGGGAAAAGATCTTCTAACACGTGGTGTTGCCAGAATCAATTTTTTGTTGGTTCTTGATACTGAAAAATCGATTGATGGCCAAATGTCAATCTATCCGTCTGCCTGTCAGTCTGTGGTCAATACTAGCGCCTATATCAACATTAATTTTAAATACAGTACAACCTGTACCCATGCAACCAACTTGAAATATCCCTAACAGTTTTGAAATTATTATTATTATTATTTTCTCACCCTACAAATGCTTTGTAAGGAGAGAAAGTTATGTAATCGTGCGCCAGAAGAACTCTTTCAATACTGGTGTCCTGCAATAAAAGTGGATATATCCTGTTGCTAAATTTAGGAAAAAATCCTCTAACATGCGGTGTATCCATGTTTTGTTGGGTCTTGCTACTGAAAAATTGATTGATGGGAAAATGTTCATCTGTGGTCAACACTAGCACCTAAACCATTCAACCGAATTTTCTCTAAAATTAATACACCGTGATCGAGCTAAACAGACTGGATGTTTTGGAAGTTTCTAACATATATATCGAGTGTTGAGGTATTTTAACATGAATCAGTTATTTACCTTTTTATACCTCTGCCCAACTTTGATCCACAGGTCACTTGTGAGGTGTAGTGGTATGAGTGCCAGCCAATTAACTTTGAGGATCTGAGATCAGGTCTTGTAGGAAATTTTGTTGCTTTGAGAACACTTTTGCTGGTTTATGTAGTAGTACAATACTGCAGAGCATTTAGAAACAATGCAAGAATGTATGTGTTTTGGTGGCATTACTAGTTTATTTAATATTTTCAAAAGTATTTATTTATTCTCAGTCAGCCAGATAGATCCCTTTAAGGGATAATTTGAATACATTATTATCATAAATTGTCATAAGCATCTCGTATTGTAAGTTTCATATGTTCATTCAATGTCTGTGATTTTTTGTTGAGCTAAGCAATTTCTTAATTTTTGTTCCAGAGCAAAGTGATGCCGACGTTGAAGATAATGTGGAGCAAGAAGTAGCACTAAAGGAAGTGAGACCAGGGGAACGGCTTGTTAATGGTGATGTTTCTTCTATAGACTTAAAGTTGTGTAATGGAAACGTCAGTGACAATGAAAACATTGAAGTTGAGAGAACTGTTAAGGAGCAGAGTGAAGCAAGTAGAAGAGTAGATAGTGAAGGCCTCATTTGTTCCGATCAGAAAATGTGTAATGGCACTAGACATGGAGAAGAAATTGTCCAAGAAAACAGAACAGATGCTCATTCTGCTGTTAGTCAACATGTATCATGGGAAAGGAAGGCAACGGACAATAGAGAAAGATCCTTAAAAGTCAGAGATGTGGCTGACAGCAAGGAATGTCAGGAAAAAAGGATTACGGAGGAAAAGTTGAAATCCATCCAGGAAATTGAAATGCCTTTAGCTTTGCCCTGGAAAGACGTTGAAGTGGACGGAAATGAAGTTAAGGAAGGATTCAGTGCTCTGGTCCAAGGAAATAAACTTACAAATGGAACTCTAGAGGAATCTGAGGAAATAGGAAATACCGGAGATTCAGAAGGAAATAAAAAGATCTTAGAATATAGTGTCTGTGAAAAAGCTAGCATTGGGACTGAAAATGTAGAATTTATGGACGCAACCAATGATTCGACTTACCTACACACCAAAGACATACCCAGTAAAGATGAACCCAGTGAAGAATTATCACTCTTCATTTCCCCCACAGTCAATTCCCCGTCTGCGCTGGGTAGCCCGATATCTCAGACTGGGAGCCCTAGTTCTGTTTCTTCCGATATAAATGTTGATCTCAACATATCTAATCTTGTGCCTTCTAACAGCTGGCCTGTTGAAGACACTGACCGTCCTTTTTCAAGAATTGCTTTCTGCAACGACGACGATTCTTTGACCTTGCATAACGACAGCCTTCAGTCATTGTCTCCAGCTGCTAATGCACAGAGTGGTACACAGAAGCCCGCAAGTGAAGAGGGAGTGTGTCTGGGCCTCCCAACTGCTGATCAGTTGGCCAAAGAGATGTTGGGGCTGTCAATAGGTCACGATGAACGCCAGTCACCCTCTCACTGGGACACCTGCAGCGCGCACAGCCTGGAAGATTTAAAGGAAGTGAAGATGGGCCTCTCTTTGGAGGTTCCCCTGTGCAATGGTGGCGGAAAGACCTCTGACCCTGCGCCTTTAGAAGACGCAGACAAGAGCAGTACCCTTGCCCCCAGGTACCACTGTGGGGACAAAGAGTGCTCCATCGAGTCTTGCCTCAACCAGTTCACATTGCTCGAGCTCATGACAGGGAGCTGCAAGGTCATCTGTGAGAGCTGCTCCGAACGCATTAACAAAGGTAAAGTTAAAAAATTAAGACTTGCAGCTGCTTTCTAATTGTACAGGGTTACAGCTTATTTTCCTTCAAACTTAATGCAAAACTTTTGTCATGTTATTCAGTAGAACCATTCATACTAGTGGACATGAACATAAACGTGAAAACGTGAAACATATTAGTATGTATATTAGAACGTGACGTAGCCAAGAAAGCTCTTAGAACAGATACAACTCATCAGGTATCTCGACATAGTTCATTGCTAGATAGCAGTTCTATTTAGAATCTTCGCTCCTTGATTTTCATGTTTGATACATCAGCTGTTGAGTTTTTATGAACAATATTGTGGTTGCTGTCATAAAATTTTCTATGGTTGCACTGCAATGACGGGGTTAACAAAAGAAGATATTCAGAAGTAAATTCAGGTACTAAAACCACAAGAGTGGATCTAAAGAAGTGTGTAGTGTGGTCTAACAACAATAACAGAAAAGACACCTTTGAAGTATACTGCTCTGGGAAAGATAGGTTTTGTTTATATTTTAGGTTAATGTGCATATTAGTGTTCACATTCAATAAACTAAATGAAAGAACATACTTTCCTCTAGGTATCCTGAGTTTTTGAAACATTTTCTTAAATAATTTAGAAGATATATAATTTTAACCTAAACGAATCTGCATTGTAACTTAAGCAAATTTAAAAGTCTTGTAGCAGCAGCTGACAGCAGGCAGTGAAAGTAATATCTAAGGGGTGAATGATTACATTAACATGATCTGAAAACAACATACTATCCTGTTCTGCTGCAAAATCTTAAGAACTTAAGAGTTTTTGTTAAGTTCAATCTAATGCAGTTTGTAAGAGCATAAATTCATCATATTTCTCAAGAAATGCTTCATAGAAGCATTTGTGGTGCTCATGGTTAATGAAGTAATTCTCAACCTAACATGATCATACCTGTTGAACTTAAAGTCACTCAATTGTACATGGAATTTCTGTCATGAGCACTCGTGAGTCGATATATTCACATTGATGGTGAAGTGACAATGATGAATGATATATTTTATTGCACTTTTTTTTATAATAACATTTGCATTGCAGCTTTAAATTTATTTATATATTTTATTAAATTTTGAATTAATTGTTTATGATTTTTTTAAAATCAAATTCTCTATATCATTTATACTACAGGCATTAATTGTAAATTATAAATAAAATAATCTTTACACTTGCAAGGGATGTGTGAAATGTTTCAGTTATTTGTAAATTAAACAAATTTTACAAGATAATTCTTTTCAAAAGGGGAATAAGGTTAATTCAGAGAAAACATTTTTGTCAATGTTATGTTTAACATTATTCATTTTCATTAATTATCATTCATTATCAATCTGCATTTATTCGGGATTCTATTAATAGAAAACAAATATATGCACTTAACTTTTAAAATAGAATATTATTTTTATGAATAACCTCTCCTCTTTTCTTCAGTTAAAGAAAAAACTTACAGAAGTAATTTGGTGTTTAGGGAAAGAGGGCAAGATGGTGGCGACAAACTCAACAAAGCAATATCTGGTGAGCAATCCTCCTGCTGTTCTGGTGCTCCACCTGAAGCGCTTTGAGGTGCACCAGAACATGTTCCGCAAGACCCCACGGCACGTTACCTTCCCACTGCTGCTGGACATTGCTCCCATTTGCAACACTAAGTGCCGAGTAAGTAACAAATTTTCAATACCAAGCCTACAGGATATGATGAAAATTTAGCAGACCATAGCTGTTCTTTCTAGCGATGCCATTTTTATTGGGCCTGAAGCCATAAAAAAGTAAGTAAATAAATATATATGCCTGTTGTATAATCATCAGTTAATAGTTAATGATATTTTTTATGTATTGTTTTAAGTTTTCAGTAATTATTGACAAACTGTATTCTGCTTCTTCCTCTTCTTCTCCTACTCCTCCGCTTCTTCCTCTGCCTCCTTCTTCATCATCTTCACAATTATATTAATCTTCTTCACCAGTTTCTTCTTCTTTATCAGCTTCTTCATCTTCTTCTTATCATCTTCTTCATCATCATCTTCATCATCTCTTCATCATCATCTTCATCATCTCTTCATCGTCTTCATCATCTTCATCTTCATCATTCTTCGTCTTTCTTCTTCTTCATCTTCGTCTTCTTCTTCATCTTCTTCGTCTTCTTCATCTTCTTCGTCTTCATCATCTTCGTCTTCTTCTTCATCTTCTTCTTCATCATCTTCTTCTTCATCTTCCTAATCTTCTTCTTCATCATCTTACTCTACTACTCTACTATCATACATCATCATATATCTACTAATCCAAGATGATATTTTTACCACTGAAAAATATGGGCAGGTGCCCACTTTCTGAAAAACTGGGGAAAATCGAGGGATTTCATTACTCTGGAAAAATCAGGGGAATTTGTGAGTGGTTAGGAGTTGGAGAAAATTTTGAAATGTTTATAAAAGTAGATAGAATTCTTTAAAACAATATTGTAGCATTATTTTGACCTCAATTTCTATTTGAGTTTTTTTTTTTAATTTATACTGTGTCATGGCAAAATCAGAGAGCAGAAAAATTAGTTTCATGGTTAATTTTTTCTTTTCATTAAATAGTGTAAAATACTCTACAAATTTTATCAATGAAAATTTTTTAAACACTATAAAACAGGGAAAGATCAGTCAGAAAATTTGTTTCAGAAAATGAGTGGCCACTCTGATGGGATCGTCTTTGCAATCACGACATATGATATGGTTGAATTTTTTCTTTACTGAACAATACAATAATATTTCCAATTATCTGTAGTCTTTTTGAAGCCTACCTCTTAAGCTCATTTGCATTCATTCAGGGAATTGTTGTGCAATAGCATGTGAACATTGTGGCATCATCATGAGGCAATTGTTCTGGCAAACTTTTCTTGTAGATTCCACTAATGAAATTCACAGTAAAATGTTACTTATTATACTACAAAAAGTTGGTAAGTAGAAGTTTTGATTTTAATTTATTTTGGGGATGAAGCCCACAGAAGAATTGATGCTTCTTGCAATGTTTTACAAATAAAAGCGTATGAAATGCACAGGACACAGTGTCAATTTTCAAGCCAGCAATGGATAAGTGCTGTAGACTTTTCTTGCTCAGTGTCTTCCAGCAGCATATGAGGAGTAGTTAGTTGATTATCAGTGACATGTTATTAGACTGAGAAAAGAACATTACTACCTATCAGAAATGGTGATGAGACTCCTGTGTTTATAGAAATGACATTAGCCCAACAGCTGAAGAGGAAGTTGCTAAAAGTGTATTGGTTCATTTTATGGTCAACAAGAAATTGCTAATCACTGTGATGTATGCTCTTGCTGATGGATCTAAGATGAGTCCTATGCCATTCTTTAATCGTAAAATAATGCCGAAAGAAAAGCTGCAGCTAGGTGTCATATTTTGTTGCTTTGAAAAAGGGTGGATGACTTATGAGCTAAATTAGATTGCCTTCACACAGCCTGGAACAGAAAGCCAAGTGCTCTTCTAAAAAAACGTAGGATACTGATTCTTGTTGCATTTAAGGGGTATCGCACATCACTAGTGAAAAAAAAAAATGATATTTGTACAGTGACCTTGTTATTACAGGAATAATGACTTTGAAACTGCAAGTGTTAGATGAGGTGAATAAACCATTTAAAAACAATCTGAAGAAGCTGTACAGCAATTGGTTGCTTCAGGGTGGCCAAGGGCCTTGACCCCCTCTGGGAATTTAGAGAGCCTTCACTGTGGAATGAATCCAGACTGAATAGACCTGCATATCCTGTGAATCAATTATAATCATCTTTAAGAAATGTGAAACAAATGCATTAGGTGGTTTCTGAAGACAATCTTCTTTGGGAGGAGGAGCAAAATTACAATGAAAGTGTCAGTTGCACCTGAGATTTTGTGGACCATTCTAGTGAAGACGATACTGTGGGATCTGTATCTGGCCTGATGAGGTCTGAGTTTGTAAATATGAAAAATATATCTAGTATGTTCTTTACATGTTTTTCTGTTATTCCTCTTTTTATAATTGGTGGTCATCTTGTATTCAGAAACATACAGTATCATCATCAACATTGATTTTTTATTTTTATTATTATTATTATTATTATTATTATTATTATTATTATTATTATTATTATAATTTGCGTTTTAGCCATTTCTGACCATACTACACATTCTCATCCAAAGCCCAGTTTTATTCTATTCCCAAGAGAGGTCAGCGTGTGTCATTATGGGGATCAACTTTTTGGTTTATTCCCTTAGTAAGACAAGGTTGTTAAGCCTTAAATTATGAATTATGAGGTGATAGGATGATAGGTGATCATGACCTGTTTGAATCATCCCCGCATTCACTTGTATGACTGATGGAAATCATGAAAACCCTTGTCAGGATGGCTGGCCCAGGGATCAAACCCGGGCTTCCCAGCTGTGAGGTCAGCACGCTACCACCCTGAGCCACTTTTGCTCGATTATTATAGTTATTATTGTTGTGGTTTGGAACTTTAAAATTAATGATGGTAGAAGGCTAATGAATTTGCTCTTTTTGACAGGAATTACCTACAATCCGCAGGGGCCAAACAAAAGTCTTATATTCCCTGTACGGAGTTGTACAGCATTCTGGCACTCTTCATGGAGGCCATTATTCTGCTTATGTTAAGGTATGATACAGTGTGTTGCAAGAATGTGCCAGATACTGTCACATAAGACATTTACTCATAAATTCTCAAAAAACTATTTACAAAAAATTGTAATAAATTACTCATTAAACCTGAATTAATTTCAAGACAAATTTTTTTTTCTTACAATTATCCCTACTTAAAGGAAATCATTTGATGATTTATGAATTGATTTTTTATGAAGGTCCGGGCTCCTGTGAAAAGGGATGATATGCGCTGGTGCTTCCTGCCCACTGCGCAGTCCGCAGAACAGTTGGAAGAATTGTCAAAAGGGGCCAATGTACCCTCTGAGCCCCTGCCAGGAAAATGGTTCCATGTGAGCGACTCGAGAGTCACTGAGGTGAATGAGGACAGAGTGCTTCATAGTCAGGCCTATTTGCTTTTCTACGAGCGTGTGTGGTAGCAAGGCCCTATGGTTATTGCCCTTTGCTCAAGCTCAGGTACAGGCCGTGTATGTAATTGTGCACCCTGTCATTATTTAAATCTGTCTTGCTGTCTGTTCATTTGAATGTGTTCCTCCCAGTGTTAAAATTTCGATTTGGTATTGGAATAAGTTTTTATATATTTCACCTGAATTATTGGGGCCTAATTCAGAGTTATGAGGTTAATGCTATTTTAGAGCATCAATTTCTGATTGAAAATCAATTTTTAAACATGATAGAGTTCATCAACTTTGTTGTAATGTGTATTATTTGCATGATTACAAAGTGTCACATGGTAACATTCTTTTGAAGATTGTGATGTTGGGGTATGGTGGTTGAGTACTCATGAAAATATTTTTCAACAAACACAACTCCTTGGGAAACACAAAAAACAGGCTGCTGAGTTTTTGTTAGAACTATAAAGGTTGTTTGTTTTAGGATTTTGTCTGCTCATTGTGCAGTCCTATTGAATGTGTTTTCTTAAAATTTGAGTTTGTTGAATATCCTTTTCGCTGCAAGACATGTGTGCTTACACTGCTATTACGTTTACAATCAAAGTCTCGATTTCTTTGGTTACATGTTTGCTTGCCTGGAAGATGGGAAGGACTACTAATTAATTGATCCACAGAAGGGCAATCTTGAATTTTGAGTTGGTTTCTGAAAACCACTGTGACATTGACTGATATTTTAGGTGTTGTACTTGTTGCATTGTTTTTTGTGTGAGCACTCATGTGGAAAATGAAGTCTGTTGCACATTTTCACCACCAAGGATCCAGCAAATTCTATGTGATGCCGGGTGATTTTATAGAATATATTGTCATTTGTTGTTATTTTTCATTATAAGCATTTTGTTAGTATTTTTTCCAAATGTATATTATAATGTCAGGAATGGAATCAGTGGACATGTGTTGCTTCTGTTGGATTGTGTTGTGACAGAACTTCTCATTTACCTTTGTACAGATTATGTATTTATCTATTTTCGGTGGCACTTCTGAACCAATTACTTGTTTTTTCAGGTATAATGATATTATAAATAGGAGAACAAATAAAGTATTTATTTTCAAATCCAGACTTGTAAAGAATGCAATTATGAAGGGTTAGATTATAATATTAGATAGCGAGGTAGTATTCTGTATTGTGAAGGTGAATAAGAGTGAGTGATTGGATTATTATGGTATATTATTTCGGAATCCTAGTTTCCTCAATCCTTCCTTATGGTAATATTGATAAATGAAGTGTGGTTTGTCTACAATTCTATAATGTGGAAAGGTAACCTTTTGGGTTTCCAAGGCCTCCTCAAGTGATTAATAAAGAACTCCTAGACTGGATATGACACACATGATATTGTTTTTATCCTGCATCAAAATATTTATAAAGTTTTAATTTATTATTTCATGTTGATTTGATGTGCAAATTTGTTTCAAAGGAACATTTAAAAAAATGAACTATTTTTTTTACTATACGTATCCTCACAATCGGAAGGGTGTTCCCTTCTGAACCACTTCCCCCCCCCTCTCTCACACACACACTCTCCCCCTCTCTCTCGTCCTGGCTCTAATGCCATGTTGGCTTTGGCCGAGACCGACTGTACTTGTCTTGTGGGAAGCGAGAAATAGAGATCTTGCCCATCGATCTGATAGCCACAGAAAGGAAAAAAGTCTTACTTAGCCTCGCAGGAAGCTCGACAAGTAAATAGTCATCTCCCTCCCAAGGAAATAGACTATTAAGAGTGAGGCTAGAAAACTACTTTTTGAAGAGTGGCAAAGAAGGTGAAATGTGGACGCTAAAGGTAGACATACACAGCGGATAATTAATAACATTGAGAGAGAGGTCAAAAGTAGGTGGTAAATACCTTTTATGATTACAAGATTAAAGAAAGTCTGACATGTAACTTAATATCGAGAAAATATTGACGATGCAGAGCATACAGTTTCAGTGCAAGGCATGGGATGCGGAAAGGGAGATTTGTAACGTTAAGCTTCAGCAGTTGATAACTCCAGAAAACATTGTGGACATGAGGAGGAGTTCGGAGGAGAAGTGAGCTATAATAGAGAACTACTTAGTTAACATCATGAAGGAAAAGGAGCAGAGGAGTTAAAGCACTAGCTTGCAGTCAATCTTCCACGCAAAGTAATGTCTAGCGACGGTTTCTGCGTGGGAGAAATCACGGCTGAGGAGATGTAGGTTTAGGGTTTTAGTCGGTAAACCAAGAACGGGAGTCCGACAGTACTGGCTTCATCTGTCTCCCTTCTAAATAATAATAATAGACCTATTACGAGTTCATAAAATTTTCTCCACAATTAAACCAAAATAAGTAAATTCTTAAAATTAAAATTACAACCCTTTGCGCTAATTCTTTTAAGAGCCAACGCGCGGCTTGGAATCCTTTCTTTTTTTACACAAATTGGAAAATGAAAGTCCGAATCCAAAAGTTCGTTTTACTTTCGTGCCTGGAGGCTTACAGCTAAGCTATTTCATTCACATCACCATAATAGCAGCGTAGTTCATTGCACCGCCCGGTTGAATGGTTTCCCTCAAAGGGCGACCCTGGATATCGCTGCGGCTGGGATGGCGGCCACGCCAAGGCAGCGCGGTAGGAAACTCGCAGCTGGCCACCAAACAACGCTTCTCTGGTATTAACGAGTAAGTCATCGGTCGCTACGGTTCCCAAAGTCGCTTCCGAGTCATGTCTAATACTGGCCACAGATTTCTTTGCACGCGGTGATTGTATTTCATCAAACTAACGGACTCACAAACGTGATAATTACTTCGTCCACTAAATCGAGGCCAAGCACGGCACATACAATCACATGAACCGATAACACTGAGGTTCAAAAATTGTCGAAGTCCGAAGTTGCAGAATTAACTCGAGTGGCTGCGGGCAGAGGTGCGGGAGCATTAAGTGTTCAGAAGAAACACGTCTGAGGCCTCCAACCTCCGCAAGTATTCTCCTCGTGTCTGTCTCTCCGCTCCTCAAGCGTTCGCGTAAGCCCCTGCTTCCCTCTCCCAGAAAGTTCTTCAAAATTTCCGAATGTAGTCGGAAGGTTGGCTGAAGTAAAGTGCGCAATGAAAATCTCTTGCCCAATCGCTGTAAGCGTTCTAAAAGGGAAATCCGGGTGGAAAGTTTCCAGTATTTTCTGTCTCTCATTTCTCGTTCTTTCGCTGTGGTTACGAAAAACACCTGTGGGTCTATCAGAGTTGCAGAAGTAGACCCGGGCGAACATAATTCCTGTTAATTGCCACTGGGTGACACCGCTGAGACTCGAAGGGGTGGCTATGTCGCTTTCTGAAAGGGCGCTTTTCGAAGGATAAACACCTAGCCGTGACGTCACCGTTAGGCTAGATTGATGGTGGGTATACTCTCTGGGTGGGGAACTGTGTTCGTAGGCCCGTGAAAGTAATAGGTTTCCCGAAGTCGTCTTCATGTTTGAAGAAAGACATTGGAAATAAACTAGACTTGCTGAGAGCGCATAATAACATGATCATTAATTTAAAGTAAGAGGTTTCTCCCCTGACACCCCCTCCAATAACTCAGCCCAGTTATGGTTGTGAGTGTAGTTGTATTTATTTTAGCATAGAATCAATCATGTTGTAATAAATAAGTTTCACCTTTTTTTAAATTTCTATGTTTTAATATAAATAATTACCAACTAAAGAAGAATAGTAATATTCTCCTTATTCATGTCCTCTTATTTTTTTGTAGGTAAATAATTTGATAGGGTTCCTCCTTTTCTTGTAAAATGGAATACAGAAATATTAAATGTAATATAGCTGTATAATATTATTATAAATATATAATTAATGTTCATCTAGAAAAATATACATTAAATCCTGATTAATGTTCGGTTTGTTACCATCATGTCCAGGAGAGTAAGGAATTGTCTGTACTAGATATCATTCAGTTGCATTCACAAGGGTTAAAAAATGAATTTGGACAATTAGTAGGCTATTTTATGTGAAAATATTCATAATTCACTTCCTTCTGTCTGAGGGTTTTAATTAGATTTTTTTGTCCAGTGTTATTATAGAGTCATATTTGTACTTATCAAAAGCCAATAGGTTATTAAAATAACATTTTCGATTTGGAATTTTATTGAAATGTAGTGTTAAACTTATTGAAGTATTACTATCTCTTGATGTTTCGAGGAGCACTTTTCCTCTTGTTCAGGAGTCTATTTGATATAAGCTGATATTCTGATAATCTAAATTACAATTTTGTAATATTTAGGACATAAGTAAAACAAATAAACTAAAATAAATTACAATTTCCCTACCTTTTATGTTTTAAGCAAAATAAATTCATTTATATTATAACAGATATGTACCAGGTGCAAATAAGCTCACTTAATAACTAATGTCATTCCTACTTAAAATCTATTTGCCATTGTTGCAAAAATCTTGCATTTTGCAAAGAAACCCTCAACACCATCTTACATGGTGTCAAAGGTCATACTGAGCAGAAAAATAGGGGAGGAACCAACTGGTAGATATTTCAATTTGAATAAAGAAAAATATTCCTAAGGTTGAATTTTATTTACCTTATATCAAATCTATTTGTCTTTATTTTATGGTAGCAATACATTACATATGTTTGTGATGTCTATATATTATATAATATATATATAATATATATATATATATATATATATATATATACACACACACACACAAGTACACTCTAAACTGGCCAAAGAAATCTAATGAAAATGTTCGTATCTATATGTATTGTAGAATAATGACATGTATGAAAACAACGGGCGCAGTGTGGTCATTTGTTCGGGTGTTTCATTGTATCTTATTGTTTCTGCTACACTCTCTCAAACCACGCCTGAAACAAGTAGAAACGCAGCCGTAACTTTGAAACCCGCGCGCAATTCATCCACTACAATGGCGATCACAGCTCCCTTCAATTCCTCCGGTGACCTGAACTCTCCGTCCACGGCATTGTGGGGGCATGCATTTGATACACAATAAACATATGTTTACTTCTGGGTATTTGCATGTGTAAATATATTTATTCGAATTTTTTTCTTTTTTTTAATTACATTTTCAATTAAATGGAACTGTAGAACAATAATTAAGGAGGAAATAATAATACAATGTTGAATGGCGTAGTAAAATATCCACCAATAAGCGTGGAGATAAGTTTACTGGCAAACCGTTGAACATACGAACTGAAGTCGATTTGATTTGAAATGCGGGACATTTGGATGGCGTGTGTTTATTGTCAATGCAGCCCGTAGGAACGAGTGACAGACGTGCGTTTTGGAATGACTGCTAATTGACGATGTCGAATGTGGAACGTTGGAGTGATTTATTTGAATGATTGGCATGCTTTGTATGTTATAAGTTTATCATACCGTACGGCCAGCGTTGTGTAGGTGATCAGTATTTTTATGAGCAATAATTTTACGGCCGTAGTCATGTCGGATAAAATTCAAGTAGCGATAAAAGTGCGGCCTCTCGTCACAAGAGAAAAGGACATTGGAGAATTTTGGCGTGTCAATGGAAATGAACTGTATCTCCTAAATAATGATAAACAACCAAGTGGTGAAATATTTGCATATGGTAAGTGATGTTTGATTTTTGTGAATATGTCCCAATTGAGTTTATTATGGTTTCGTTTGCCTCTTTTCAAAGTGCTGTCGAATTTGCGAAAAGATATTTAGTAATCGTGAACAGGAGCACCTGATACAATGAGTAGTTGATAACTAATAAGTGCTTGTACTACTGATGACTTTAGAGGTTTGAAGTGTCATTTGTCTTCTCAATCGAATTAACTACTTGTTCATAACATAATTTGTTTTTTTAATTTCCTACTAGTGTTACTTTAAAATGTAAATAAACTTTGTTCTCCCTGATTTTTCAGATCATGTTTTCGCAAACAACAGTACTAACATGGAGGTATTTGAAAAGGTTGTGAAACCACTTGTGAATAGAGCTGTGAGGGGATTCAATGCCACAATTTTTGCATATGGTCAAACATCATCAGGTATTTTTGGCTTGGCTTCTTTAGTAGAAATTACTGTTTGAAGTTCATTTCACAATTGTTATTTTCTCTTTAGGTAAAACGCATACAATGTTGGGAGATCAGAATGAAGCAGGAATCACTCAATTAGCTGTGTCTTCAATGTTTGATTTCATGAAAAAGTCTGAAGGACGAGAGTTTCTTGTACGGTATGTTGACTTTTTCCGTCAATTATTAAACTTGCTATTATTTCATTCCTTATGTGTAAGCCTCTTTTTTTTATTTAAAATTTTTTTAATAGTGCATCATATATGGAAATTTATAATGAAAAAGTGAACGATCTTCTGGAACAACAGAATAATAATTTGAAGATTAGAGAAGAAGAAGGTAAAATTGTTGTACAGCGTTTAAAAGAAGAGCTAGTAGCGGATACAGCAAAGGTGTGCTATTGTATTTGATGTTGATAGTATTTGTGCATTGCAAATTTTAATTGTGATATATTTTTAGGTAATGTCTCTCCTCAAGAGAGGCCAGAAAATACGTAGAATTGGTGAAACCAATCTGAATGAAAGAAGTTCACGTTCCCATACTATTTTTCGCCTGGTAAGTAACAAAGTTTGTTTTAATGGGTGTACAGAAAAACTGCCTTGTAAATTTTGGGATACATCAATGTTACTGTCAGAAAGAGTATGACACTGAGTAAGGTGAGTGTTTGTTAGTGTGTACAAATTAACAAATTTGATGGATGTTCATATTAAATGGAAAAATGAGTTGCTAGCATGTGCAGCTGAACTGCTTAACCAGGTAACAAGTTAAAAAAGTTTGAGACACCATTACTCTAGAAGTACTCTTTTGCAATACCGGGTATTATTCTCAGATTTAAGAGTTGGGCGAATTGACTTTTGATCAACTGGGATACGGTTGTTAAATTGTGAACTTCAATGTTGCAAATTTACAATGCAACAAAGCTCCCAATTGGATAACAAAATCCTAGCGATCACTGTCAATTTGTCTTGAAGTAAAAAATTGTTTAGCCCAAGGATGAAGGGATAAAAAGCAATATATACTGAACAAATAACAATAACTGATTACATTGAGTGTGAACGTATACCAGCTTGTGTGCCTGCTTTTATTCAAAGTAGGGAATGGTTAAAGCAGAAAGTGTTTTACACTCTTGGAAAAGCGGTTGGGAAGGAAAGAGTATGGTAGTGACTGTGACTTATTGCTATAAAATTATGAAAAGCCATTGTGTAATCTGTGCTTTGGTTCTTTGAGACTCCTAAAACTATTCTTGGATTTAAACATTGTTGATGTAAATCAGTTGTTGACAGCTAATGATCTGTCAAATGAAGATCTAAATAAATCAAGTGTAGGTTGTGGTTCTATGCTATACAAGTGGAATATCTACAAAATTAGGTACGTTTCACTCTCCTCAGACATACAATTTCGCTCTTATTTTGTTGCCAATTATTTGCATAACAAGTTTCTGCATTGTAAAAGTTTTTAATTTTAGCACAAGGTTTGGACAATCAGTCTTTGTAATTATCGTAAAACGTCCTTGAGTCTGGACTATACTTTTTTCGCAAAAATGAAATAAAATGACTTTTTGAAAAACATATCAAAAATCCATTGTATGATTAATATAGATATCTTTTATTTGTATCATACATGTACTCGCTTTGTCACTTCTGTTAAATTGAGTTGAATCTTTCTGCCATATTGCATTTAATAAAATTAACACCGGTTTAAATCTCCATAAAGCTACACAATAAAGATTCACAGCACATACTAAGTCATTGACTGTTGACAACTTCGCATGCCTGCTGCATAACTTCTCTCATCATCTGTTTTCTCTTTGTGGTATGAACTGCCCATTGACATTGAGTCTTAAATTGTGTCAAACTCTTCTAATCAACTAGATAAAAGGATATATTATTATAGTTATGCTCATGAATTTCACCAAAAATTTTTATTATTGAGTTCATTGAAGAATTTGGAATAATCATCCAATGGAAGATTTATTAAGTTGTAGCCATAATAGAGAAATTTCTGTAAAGTCCCCCGTCCCCAAAATTAGTAATACATGGCAAGTGAAACTATCATGTTATATCTCAGTATGTTCATGTTTTTGAGATGCAATTGGCAAAGTAGTGACAGGAGTTCCTTGGTAATTGAGATAGAGGTGGAACTTATCACAATGTTTCAGATCTTCGGAAAGTATTTGTTGATATTGTATTTAGATACATTATTCTCTTCTCATTACTACGCTGTTTAATTTATTAATTAAATATCAATGATGTACCCGCAAAGATGGCTCAGGGCGCCAATTGATGTTACTGAAGCACCTTTGACCGGGAGGTTTTAGAGTTCCACTCCTGGTAGTGGCAGGATTTCCTACTAGGAACAGGATACCATTCAGGCACTGTCTGGAGGGGAATTCTAGTGGCTAGCTTTTCTGATTGGTAGTTTTTCGTTTCTCTAATCAACATGAGGTGAATACTGCAGCAGTACCCTAACAATAGGGTCATGGACCGCACATGATCTCTCATTCCTATTCGTTATCCTATCCTCCCCCTTACAGACTTATGTACACCACACATGCTGGGAGACCAGTCGGGATCTTAGTTTGATTGGGTTGTGGCAGAACCCGACTGGTGGAAGATACCTGGTTGGGAGAAAATCTTTGCTAGCAGATATTGGTCCGCACCAGATCTCGCCATTCAGCAGGGCAGATTACTACGGTCTCCAATGATGATTAATGACATGCACTACACTTAACGGGCTAATGGCCTTAGCCATTGATGTACCCGAAAACATCAATCGATCAATTGATGTGTTTTGTGTTGTTTTCAATAGATTATCGAGAGTCGTGAAAGTGATATGGGTGATGATGGAACCATTCAAGTGTCCCAGCTCAACTTGGTAGACCTGGCAGGTTCTGAACGTGCTGGTTTAGCTGGCACCACAGGGGAGCGTTTGAAAGAAGGATGCGCTATCAATCGATCACTTTTCCAGTTGAGTCAGGTTGTGGCCCAGTTGAGTGAAGGAAGGTGAGTTTTTAAAAAACAGGTAATAAGTTTTATTGAGTTGTCATGGTGTATGAAAGGGAAGATTTTGTGATCTGAATGGGTTTCCTTATTAATTGTGTGCATGTTAATCACCATCGGATGAAAATTTAGATTGATATGTTCAACAGCATATCAGTCTTTGTGTTTGACATTTAAGTTGCAGAGTGATAACTGTCAGTAGTGTCCTAGTGACTAACCATCAGTCATGTTATATATTATGTCATGTTATATATAAACAAACCATTTTACATACTCTAATATGTTCTCCTTACACCTCAGACTTAATGGTTAATCTATTGAATACTTGACCATAGGATTGTCATGAGTGCATATATTAAAGCCTTTAAATGTGGCATGGGTCAGTTTGTTTTCTTGGCATTGGATGGAATGAATTTTTATTTGAATATTGCGATCTTTGTAAATCTTAATTATTGCCATGTCAGGCTGCCATTTGAAATATGTTTTCCAATAATCATCTTCACCCAATTGCCACACGTTCCTTCATTTTATTTGTTGAAGCTTACAATAGACATTGTGCTATTGTGATGATGCATGTTTCTTGTGTAAAATTGAAAACTACTAAACACTTTCATTATTTACTGATATATTATTGCTTATTATTGCCTACGATACAGAGCGTTCAGGGCAGTAAATGATTTTAATGGCAGCTTCTCTAACAAATGAGCATTGCGGAAGACTGCATCACTCTGCAATAAATATTCTTCCACCAGTCAGCTGAGTAGTAGGATCAGCTGATTGGAGTTTGTAATTGTATTTTCATGATGTGAAGGATAGAAATTTAGTTTTCACGAGAGATTGATTGTATTCTATCATTAATGATGAAAAAGTGTACAAATTGATACAAATAATTTCTAAATGCTGTTGATAATACGTGTGACTGAGTAAATTAAGCCATCGGACAGGAGAATGACGAGTATACTGCTAAATCCCCCATGTAGGCTTTGTGAAAACTATCACAATTCCGTTGGTACTTTCAATATGGCGTGTTCAGAACTTTCAAATTAACGAGTGATGCATAATGTTTTGCAATTAGTATAATTGATATTTATAATTTCTATTGATTGATTATTATGACTAGTGATCAATTGAATGGGTGAAAACCAGAAGTGTAAGGTGACATATTATAAATTCTGAGAAAAATGTTTATTTAATTCAATGTCATGGTAAAATCTTGTTACTTTGTTTTGTTATCAAAATAATGGCATTTCAATTGTTTGATAAATCATGAATACATTGCCACTGAAATAGCCTTTTATAAGCATGTTTTTCTCCGAATTTATAAAATGTCACATACTGTTTTGGTTTTCACCCATTCAATAATTGATCATTGACAGACAGATTTGGCTAGTCAATTGTGAAATTATGGTAATAATACTTAAATACTGTAATTCATTTGTTCAATAATTCATGACAGGTAAATCAATGCTTCATTGAAATGTTAGCCGTGTATAAATAACACAAGATCACCATTAAACGCTTCTTAATATTTTATTAAATTTTGAATTCTCCTGACCTTCGAAAAAATTCACACTATGTTAAAAGGTTTCTTTGAGGAAAAAGATTCAAGTTAGTAAACATTCTCTGAGTACTGATTGGCAAAATACACTTTGTTAATCCAAAGATTCATAACGTTCAAGTGAATTTCTTAAATATAAAAACTAACAGTCGGTTCTTAAAAGTTAGTTATTAGGTACACCAGGGGTTTAAAAATGCTATGAAGTATTTGAATGTACTTGTTATTAAAAGGTTATTGTAGGATGTTAAATAATAAATTCTAATTTATGAAAGATGCTTTTCCACCTTCACTATGAACATTTAAGGTTTAAGTTATGAAAATTGAAAGATTTCATGAAATTAAAAGGTATAACTTTATTATCTACAAATAAGTAATTTTGAACACGAGTTGAAATGAATCGTAAAAGCAAATATATAAATGAAAAAATAATTGTCTTGTCTTGAATTTTTTTTGCGATTTCATTGAAGGATACAAATATTGCCCTAACCATCTTCCAGGTTCAATAAATTTTTATCCAATTTGATTATTTCAAGTCAAACTTTATAAAATTGAAATTACATTCCTAAGTACTTAGAGAACATATGTCCTAAAAGGTCCATGACCTACATTAACTAGTTCAAAATCCAGTCTGCCACATTTGCTAGGAGTAGAATGTTATATTTGGAAATAAATTATACAATTTATTAATTATACAATATACAACAGGAAATTTTAAGTATTAACAATATTTGTATTGTAACATATTGTGTAACATTTGATTGCTTATCAAACCTGACCCAACAGCATAATTTTGATAACTTTTAATCTCATATTCTATTAAGTTGTCTTATGATACTTAAGCCATAAGTAATATACTCCTTAAATGATAACTTTTAATTAAATCTTCACTTCTTATTCTTTCATGTTCTCATTCATTCTTTCAATTCAAAGGAAGAATATTTTTCTATTACCAGAAGATAATTTTTGATGTATATTGTGTGTGTTGCCAGAAGATATTTTCAACGCACATTCATACACATCGTTTTAGCAGTTTTCTTCAGTTCTAATGCTGCACGTTACATTCATTTCTCAATCCCCTTCATGTATAATGAAGTCACTATTTGAATGCCGTCTGGTTGTTTTTAATAATTGCTTAATAATAATATACATTCACAATTTACATGGAATATAGCCACTCTCTTGCGCTTGTTGGATTAATATAAATTTACAATTTGTAACTCTGTACCCGAGGAGAATAAAAGTTGTCAAATATTTTTCAATCCAGTTTCATGCCTTATTCAGACATATTCCTATTAATATTAGAACCATCAGAGGGCCCTGGAATGGGACCACTGAGGGGGAACTTTCTCTTCATAGACATTCTGAATATTTATTATTATTTCTATGTCTGAAGCTTCCTTTCTTATTTCTACTCTATACACTTCTATATTCTTCACAGTATGTGCCTTATAATTATTCCAAATATAGTGGAGTTCAGAATAAATGAGTATGTTATATTAATAACATTTTTGCAACACATCTCAAGGAAATATTTTTATATTTATTCACTTATGTCTCCACAGTAATCGGTAATCAATCCTTTAATTTTTTGTTTCTTCGTGGTAGAAAGTGGTATCATGATGACTAACTGATAAGGTCTTTTGCACTGGCTCTACAACCAACACAATAGTATTTTAGTGACAATAAGGGGGAGGGGAGAGACAACTCAATGACCAGCTTCTTTTATCATTTCATCTTCCTCACATCAGCAAATATGATTTATCAAATAGTAAGCATATTGACAAACATTAAATAAAAAAAATACAAAAAATGAAACTGAGTTATGCTATGTTTTAATTCAACAAAACTTATGCTTATTTCAGTCAGAAACTTCTTAAACTACTGTTTCAGAAGCTTTTATATATTCTATTATTATTTCAATTGTAAAGAATTTAGTAGACGTTTGCTTGCTCTTCGAATATTACAATATCACATAGCAGACGAAAGGCCCACCAAATTAACACAATTCCTGCTAGTTGAACTTCTCATTTCTCTAGTGAAGTCTCTAAATATTAACTAAGTACAGCATACAGAAAATTTTAACTTTTTTCTTGAACATGGTTTCAAAATATTTTCACACTATTCTATCACTAACAAAATATTTTTCCATGAACATTTTCCTTCACCGGAATGACAATACAGTAGGCGATTCCATGGCCCTAAGACAAGATAGCCGGTTGTGGAATAAAAGTGAATAATTTCTGCATGTTAATCACCGACCACTCTAGCACGATCTTTGCCATGTGGCAACAATAGCTGTCAAAAAAAACGGTCACATGACTGAACGCTATGAATGGAGTTAGACATACTCTGCATAACTTACCTGGATCAAGAGTATCATAGTTTTGAGGGAAATCTGAAAATAGTTGAATGGTGCTATGTATTCTGTTATGGAGGGAAATATGAAGCCAGTCATGTTAACAACTAGTTATTAGTAAATAAGTAAATCTGAAACATTAAAATGTTAAAATATAAAATCTTATATGTACCATGGGCAGAAACTGATTCTAATGATCGTGGATGACAAGAAGGCCTTGGGCCAAAGGGCTTCAGGTGTGTTGTCACCACTTCATTATTAAAACATTTACAATGTTCTTGGTCCACAAATACAACGATTTTGTGCATTGTATATGTAATAGTACAGTCAGCATAAATGAAAAGACTTTATCAATCCAATAACCTGTAAATCTTTTTTTCTTTTTCAGTCAGTTTGTGAACTTCCGAGATTCGAAACTCACAAGAATCCTGCAATGTTCGTTGGGTGGAAATGCACACACCCTGATCATATGTACAGTGACTCCTGCATCTGTGGATTTTACCCTTAGTACTCTTGGGTGAGTATATCAGGAAGTGGGAGTAAAGGATATAAGGCTCGGGCCTTGGTAGAGTATCGCACACACAAGTTAAGAAAGATCTAGTAAAACTAAAAAGTACCCCAAAAAACCAAGTACAGTAAAACCCTGATTTTACGTTCAAACAATTTGTTTTCCTGATATTTACAACATTTCTTGCTGGTTTGATCAGTTTTCGTATAGTCAATGTTATAAATACTCTGTATTTATGATGGTATAATTTCAGTTTTCCCGCAATTTACAATCTTCTGCTTTATCAATCATTATTGAACAGCTATGCATACACAAATTTTCATTTCGTAACATTACAGACGTATTTAAAAAGGTAGAAAAAATGAGTAATATGCATTGGTAGAAGAATATAAGGTCTGTGCCTCGAGCGTTGCATTGAGTTGATGCACGTTGCCTATCGCTGATGACGCCAGCTCTGTTGAAGCCTGCGCACACGAATCAAGGTGCATGGTAGATTTAACACTATCTTATGCGAAATGACACAAAAGTACACTTGGCAACACTCGTGGTCTAGCTGGTGTAGCATGTTGAAAGCTAGAAAACAGACATGCATAGTAGCTTGAGCATCTTGCCACAGCTGTGGGCACAAAGCACATTACTAAGAGTGTTCTTGTGCTGTTGTGCCTAAGAGTGGTAATCTAAGACTCATATTGTGACGTGTGCACTGGCATCAACAAAGCTAACGTCATCAGTGTTAGGTAAGATGTGTCATTGCAATGCCCATGTGACACAGGCCTGAGATGTAGGGCCAAATTCATAGTCATCACTTATAGGATATGTGAATCCTTAAGTGATAGGTGATTTCTCGGAATAAGTGTTCACTTATAGGCGCTTAAGCAAACTAATCATACTATATACGGGACAAAGTGACTGAAAGGGGTAATTTCAACATTGTGTAAACACTACATTATTGTAAATTATCAATAATAAGCTATGAAATAAATATTATAAAACGATAAATGAAGGTTCAGGCACGTTGATCAAGTTCACTTGTTACAGTATCATGGATCTGGTATACTGCAACTTTCTTCTTTTTTTTCTTTTTTTCTTTTCTCTCGAGATTGTATAATAATTAAATTAAAAATGTAATATTGGTAGCACAATCCATTTCATCATCTTATTTTTGAAATTCGCCAATGTTTACGTTCAGATGTAAATCAAAAGTGCTAAAAGAAAGAAAAAAAGAAGAAAATCATGTTTTATTACCAGAAATGTTATTAGCAAATGTGTTATTTTGTGGAAATAATAATTTAAAACATTGGTTTCTCATAACAGATTTGAAGTAAGTATTTAAATTCTCGATGGATGATTCAAAAGCTAAGATAACAAATAGGTGCAATATACAAGCACTTAGGAAAATGAACTGGTAAGGTACTAACCTGTATCTACCAAGAAATTATTCCAAGTAACTTAACCTTCCTGAAGTGCTTACTCAGAATTACTGAATAATAATGAAACTCTAACAAAACAATCGAAGGGAGCATAATAACGCTCTAAAATTCCAATAAAAAATTTAATATTTGCTTGGTCTGGCGGTAATGCAGAGACACGCTTGGTGACATCCGAAAACTCTTTTGTGAGAAGTTCTTCCCTCAAGGGGGATAAGTGTCAGTTGAGTAATGGTGGCCAACACTGTAGTTCATGGGTAAAGGAGGTTTGCACGTTAATTTAAACTTTTAAAGTGTTTATTTGATAACATTGTTTTTTGTGTGTGTGTGTGTGTGTGTGGGGGGGGGGTAGTGAGAGATCTGAATGTAGTGATGCCAGTGTATTGGTTTCATTGAGTGACTAATGCTATTTTGTTAGTCTTTTATCCTTTCCTAGCACTGCCATTACCTCTGTCATTTTAAAATTTCACATTTCTAGTTCAAATCTGTTGCCAGAAATCACAAGATTTTAAAATATTTTTACTGTATACCACTCCTTAAGACCCTTTGGTGAAATGATTTGATAATAATGTCTGTGTTGACTTAAGCCTCCACTAATTTTATAAAACTTCCTAAAAGCATTACAAATAATTTTCTTTCACAGATTTTTTCTTCCCCCGATTTTTTTCTTCTCCCCCCCCTTTCCCCTCCCCTATTCATAGTTCCAATTGCCTTAGAACATCCAACATTTTTTTAAAAATATTTTTTCTGAAAATAATTTGTTTTTCATATTTGGAAATCCATTTTAGTAACATATAAAAGTATATTTTTAAAATACAAATAATTTGTCATTAAAAAAATTTGAAGGCATAAAGTTTTTGAAAATTTTAAGTGAAAAAAACTTTGTTCATTGTGTAGAAGAGCTGGTGTGGAAAGAGTTGGAAAAGATTTGAAAAATTCTTATTTTAGGTCGTAATCATTTTTCAAAATATTTCACTTCATTTTGTTTCAAAGCGTGTTTTAATCGTACTCACTATGTGGATACTATAAGGAAGAAAAATCAGGGACACGCAGGAAGAAAAGTTTCTGGTTACCAATGGGCACCTGCTTTATAAATAGCAGAAGTGGTAGAGCAATTTTGAATTTGTTGTGAATGCTCTTGTATGGTTGGCATGTAATGTGATGTTATATAATCTATTGTTAAATTTTATTACTTTTCTTGTATTCTAGATTTGCTTCACGTGCGAAGGCAGTTAAAAACAAGCCTCAGGTGAATGAAGTAATGTCTGATGGTACTTTGATCAAGAAGTATGCACGGCAGTTAGAAAAACTCCAGGCAGAACTCAAGGTTAGACTCAAATTTTTGGTTTTGTTATTTTTTGTTGAAAATTTAGTGTGCTTTTGAAATAATGTCCCTCAGCAGAACTGATGACAAAGATTTCCAAACATTTTTAGTTTATCTGCTAAAACCCTTCAAATGTTTATTATCAAGAGTGAAAAGCTCCTAACCATTTGGTCAGAAATCTCTTTGTGCAAATTATCAATTTAAGTTTTCAAATCTAGTTCTATACTTATTACTACATGGAACATCAAAAAGGTTATGTCATCAGAATAAACACTTTTATGAGATGACCCTCTTCTAACTATGTTTAAGATCAATTATAAACTAAAAGTAGGTTTTATGAAAATTCAGATTTTAAGTATCACTCATGTATAAAATTAATTAACAATGAATACCAGGATAAATATTACATTAAAAACCTAGTAAACTTTGAAAAATTTAATAAAAATGACAGAAAAAAATTAAATTGGGTATACTTGATCTTGTGTATATGTCAATCAATAATATCAAGACATGACAATTGAAACATAAATCCTCAAGAAACCAACAAAAAGAATATCTGAAAGAAGTGACCATACAGCCAAGAATCAATTGATGACATCCCACAAACAGATGATCTATTCTTCAGACCAAATATCAACATTGCATGTATCATTGACAAGCAAGCCAAGCAGCTTTACCAAGATGAAATGTATATTCTTGTGAAGCAGTCAGCACCCACATTGTTTCTTGTACAAGTCACTGGTGACCACATGGCTGTCAATGTGTAAAAACGCAATTAAATCAGCTATTGTTAGCACATAAAAATCAGCTCTACCTTTATTATTAAATTGAAATTTTGCTTCTTTTTACTTAAATCCATTGTATGGAAATTGACAGTACAAATCCATTCAGGATAAGAACACTCAATTTATTCACTCAACAGGTTCAGAAATAATTGAATTAAGACAACAAGACAACTTTGAACAACTGTCGGTATTGTTGTTTATTCCATAACTGCTTAAGGTATATGTGAATGTAAATTGATTTTTCTAGATACCTACACATATTTGGAAAGCCAATGGGACTTCTGAATTTAATTTTCCAATGTCTCCAATCTTCCAATGAAATTTAATCTCTAAGATATCATTATAAATAAAAATTAAAGCAACAATGTTTGACAACTTGCTCTTCCTCGGTATCTCAACCAATTTTATTGATTTTTTGACTCGTAAGTAACAATTGTGATTGTTAAGCTTTTTATTACATCATTTTTGTTATTGTAAGACTTTATTTTGTTTTTTGTATTTATTATTTTAGGCATTACGATAATATCTGTTGTATAGTAACTAATTAATAAACAATAGTGTAAGCTGCAACCATCCATTAGTTTACCTATCCAGACAAAGGAGGCGTCATTTAACCCATGTCAGTCTCCTGGTGGGGAACTAATCATTCCATCCATCAAAATGTTTCTAACAAAATTCTCTAAAAAAAGTTTTATACAGCTATTAAATCATGTTTTGGGTGACTTATGGCACCTGCAGATATGGTAAATAGCTCATTTGAATTCTCTTCGCAAGACAAATTGATTGGTACAATTCTTAGCTGATTCCCTTTGGAATATTGTGGAAGATTTCTAGAAGAAGCCCCCCAAAATGGAAAGAAAGAAAAAGAAAAAAAAAGAAAAAGAAAAAAAAATCCACATATCGGTGGAGGGGAGGGGGGTGATGTATTTGTCACACTTATCCTTCAGGGGTGATGATTGTGCTGGGATCAAAGAGAATATTCAAGAAGGCGAGCTTTTATTTGCCCAGCACAAGCATCCATCCTATCATTACTAGTTTGCTTTGACGTATATGTTATATTTGTCCTTGGAGTTAATAAAGCTAAACCAGGACATTAATTACCCAACTTGATGAAACTAAAATGTGGTTTCTGAAGGTGTTGATATAGTGAACTTTTTGGCTAATCATTCGAAGGTTGTTATTTTGGTGCCCAGAATTATCAATGTTTATCCTGACAGATTGACTAAAGTTTTACTGTTACGAGTTACATAACCGAATTTGATCTAAATATATCATCTACGATGGTGTGCTGAATACGCTCATGTTCCAACTGCATATTTGTACTGGAACAACTAATACAGAAAAGAGGAGAATTTAACTTACCTACATGTATACTATTTGTTGATTATGAAAAAGCTTTCGACTAAGTGTCCCGAAAGAAAC